CTGTCGCTATCGTAATGTTTATAAAACATACATCCACTGTCGCTATCGTAATGTTTACATTACATACATCTTATGTCGCTATCGTAATATTTACATTATAACATCTTCTGTCGTTATCGTAATGTTTACATAACATACATGTACTGTCGACGCTATCGTAATGCTTACATAACATACATGTACTGTCGCTATCGTAATATTTACAAAACAGACATACACTGTCGCTATCGTAATGTTTACAAAACATACATCCACTGTCGTTATCGTAATGTTTACAAAACAGACATACACTGCCGCTATCGTAATGTTTACAAAACATACATCCACTGTCGCTATCGAAATGTTTACATAACATACATCCACTGTCGTTATCGTAATGTTTACATAACATACATCCACTGTCGTTATCGTAATGTTTACAAAACAGACATCCACTGTCTCTATAGCAATGTTTACATAACATACATCTACTGTCGCTATCGCAATGTTTATATAACATACATCCACTGTCTCTATCGTAATGTTTACAAAACATACATCCACTGTCGCTATCGTAATTTTAACAAAACATACATCCACTGTCGTTATCGTAATATTTACATAACATACATCTACTGTCGCTATCGAAATGTTTACAAAACATGCATCTTCTGTCGCTTTCGTAATGTTTACATTAGATACATCTACTGTCTCTATCGTAATATTCACATAACATACATTTATTGTCGCTATCGTAATGTTTACATAACATACATCTAATGTCGCTATAGTAATGTTTATATAACATACATCTTCTGTCGCTATCGTAATATTTACATGATAACATCTTCTGTCGTTATCGTAATGTTTACAAAACAGACATCTACTGTCGCTATCGTAATATTAACATAACATACATCTTCTGTCGCTATCGTAATATTTTCATGATAACATCTTCTGTCGTTATCGTAATGTTTACAAAACACACATCTACTGTTGCTATCGACCTGTTTACAAAACATGCATTTACAGTCCCTATCGAAAAGTTTACAAAACAAACATGTACTGTCGCTATCGTAATGTTAACAAAACATACATCCACTGTCTTTATCGTAATGTTTACATTACATACATCCACTGTCGTTATCGTAATGTTTTCATAACATACATCCACTGTCGTTATTGTAATGTTTACATAACATACATGCACTGTCGCTATCGTTATGTTTACATAACATACATCCCCTGTCGCTATCGTAATGTTTAAATAACATACATCCACTGTCGCTATTGTAATGTTTACATAACATACATTCACTGTCTCTATCGTAATGTTTACAAAACAGACATACACTGTTGCTATCGTAGTGTTTACAAAACATACATCAACTGTCGCTATCGTTATGTTTACATAACATACATGTACTGGCGCTATCGTAATGTTTATAAAACATTCATCTTCTGTCGCTATCGTAATATTTTCATGATAACATCTTCTGTCGTTATCCTAATGTTTACATAACATACATGTACCGTCGCTATCGTAATATTTACAAAACAGACATACACTGTTGCTATCGTAGTGTTTACAAAACATACATCAACTGTCGCTATCGTTATGTTTATAAAACATACATCCACTGTCGCTTTCGTAATGTTTACATAACATACGTCCACTGTCGCTATCGTTATGTTTATAAAACATACATCCACTGTCACTATCGTAATGTTTACATAACACACATCTACTGTCGCTATCGTAATGTATACATAACATACATCCACTGTCGTTATTGTAATGTTTACATAACATACATGCACTGTCGCTATCGTTATGTTTACATAACATACATGTACCGTCGCTATCGTAATATTTACAAAACATAAATCTACTGTCGCTAGCGTAATGTTTACATAAGAGACATCCACTGTCGCTATCGTAATATTTCCATAACATAAATCTACTGTCGATATCGTAATGTTTACATAACATGAATCCACTGTCGCTATCGTAATATTTTCATAACATAAATCTACTGTCGCTAGCGTAATGTTTACATAAGAGACATCCACTGTCGCTATCGTAGAATTTACATAATAACATCTTCTGTCGCTATCGAAATATTTTCATAACATACATCTACTGCCGCTATCGTAATGTTTACAAAAAAAACATACACTGTCGCTATCGTAATGTTAACAAAACAGACATACACTGCCGCTATCGTAATGTTTACAAAAAAAACATCCACTGTCGCTATCGTAATGTTTTATCGTAATGTTTACATAACATACGTCCACTGTCGCTATCGTTATGTTTATAAAACATACATCCCCTGTCACTATCGTAATGTTTACATAACAGACATCCACTGTCGCTATTGTAATGTTTACAAAACAGACATCTACTGTCGCTATCGTAATATTTTCATGATAACATCTTCTGTCGTTGTCGTAATGTTTACATAACATACGTCCACTGTCGCTATCGTTATGTTTATAAAACATACATCCCCTGTCGCTATCGTAATGTTTACATAGCATACATCCACTGTCGCTATCGTTATGTTTATAAAACATACATCCACTGTCACTATCGTAATGTTTACATAACATGAATCCACTGTCGCTATCGTAATATTTTCATGATAACATCTTCTGTCGTTATCCTAATGTTTACATAACATACATTCACTGTCTCTATCGTAATGTTTACAAAACACACATCTACTGTTGCTATCGACCTGTTTACAAAACATGCATTTACTGTCCCTATCGAAAAGTTTACAAAACAAACTCGTTCTGTCGCTATCGTAATGTTTATATAACATACATATTCTGTCGCTATCGTAATATTTTCATGATAACATCTTCTGTCGTTATCCTAATGTTTACATAACATACATGTACTGGCGCTATCGTAATGTTTATAAAACATACATTCACTGGCTCTATCGTAATGTTTACAAAACACACATCTACTGTTGCTATCGAAGTGTTTACAAAACATGCATTTACTGTCCCTATCGAAAAGTTTACAAAACAAACATGTACTGTCGCTATCGTAATATTCTCTATCGTAATATTCACATAACATACATCTATTGTCGCTATAGTAATGTTTACATAGCATACATCCACTGTCGCTATCGTAATATTTTCATAACATACATCTACTGCCGCTATCGTAATGTTTACATAACAGACATCCACTGTCGCTATCGTAATATTTCCATAACATAAATCTACTGTCGTTATCGTAATGTTTTCAAAACAGACATCGACTGTCGCTATCGTAATGTTTAAATAACATACATCCACTGTCGCTATTGTAATGTTTACAAAACAGACATCTACTGTCGCTATCGTAATGTTAACAAAACATACATCCACTGTTGTTATCGTAATGTTTACAAAACATAGATCTACTGTTGCTATCGAAATATTTACAAAACATGCATTTACTGTCCCTATCGAAAAGTTTACAAAACAAACACGGACTGTCGCTATCGTAATTTTTACATAACATAAATCTACTGGCGCTATCGTAATGTTTACATAGCATACATCCACTGTCGCTATCGTCATGTTTACATAACATACATCCCCTGTCGCTATCGTAATGTTTATAAAACATACATTCACTGGCTCTATCGTAATGTTTACAAAACAAACATCCACTGTCGCTATTGTAATGTTTACATAACATACACCCACTGTCGCTATCGTTATGTTTACATAACATACATCCGCTGTCGCTATCGTTATGTTTATAAAACATACATCCCCTGTCACTATCGTAATGTTTACATAACAGACATCCACTGTCGCTATCGTAATATTTTCATAACATACATCTACTGTCGCTGTCGTAATATTTACAAAACATAAATCTACTGTCGCTAGCGTAATGTTTACATAAGAGACATCCACTGTCGCTATCGTTATGTTTACATAACATACATGTACTGTCGCTATCGTAATATTTCCATAACATAAATCTACTGTCGCTAGCGTAATGTTTACATAAGAGACATCCACTGTCGCTATCGTAATGTTTACATAACATACATCCACTGTCGTTATCGTAATGTTTACAAAACACACATCTACTGTTGCTATCGAAATGTTTACAAAACATGCATTTACTGTCCCTATCGAAAAGTTTACAAAACAAACACGTACTGTCGCTATCGTAATGTTTACAAAACAAACATCCACTGTCGCTATCGTAATGTTAACAAAACATACATCCACTGTTGTTATCGTAATGTTTACAAAACAAACATCCACTGTCGCTATCGTAATGTTTACAAAACATAAATACACTGTCGTTATCGTAAAGTTTACATTACATACATCCACTGTCGTTATCGTAATGTTTACATTACATACATCTACTGTTGCTATCGAAAAGTTTACAAAACAAACATCCACTGTCGTTATCGTAAAGTTTACAAAACATACTCGTCTACTGTTGCTATCGAAATGTTTACAAAACAAACATCCATTGTCGTTATCGTAAAGTTTACATAACATACATCTACTGTTGCTATCGTAATGTTTACAAAACATACATCTTCTGATGCTATCATAATGTTTATTATCAGACATCTACTGTCGCTATCGTAATGTTTACAAAACAAACATCCACTGCGCTATCGTAATGTTTACAAAACATACATCCACTGTCGTTATCGTAATGTTTACATTACATACATCCACTGTTGCTATCGAAATGTTTACAAAACATGCATTTACTGTCGCTATCGAAAAGTTTACAAAACATACATCTTCTGTTGCTATCGAAATGTTTACAAAACATGCATTTACTGACGCTATCGAAAGGTTTACAAAACAAACATCTACTGTTGCTATAGTTGTTTACAAAACAAACATTTACTGTCGCTATCGAAATGTTTAGATGATCTGTATTTTGCCAACTAATACAGTTACAGTAGATGTTATCAAACAGCCACATAGACTATCTATAGTATAAAGAACAGACAAAGTTATCCCAAGATTTGCTTTATTTTATTTTATTTTCATTTTTTTGGCGACGAGAGTTGATGAGGTTTGAATTACAAAACAATTAAATCATTGTCAACATTTTGTTCTAACTCTTTTGCAATGAATTAGTGAGTTTGATATTTTGCCACCTTTTAACACAGTAATGGTTTATTACACTTTAATAATTTTCTGATGTCCTCAAATATGTCTGCAGTTCAAAATATTAACCAAAACAATGGCATCACATTTGTAAGGATCATCAAATGTGATGTCATTGTTTTGTTTAATATTTTGGACTGCAGACATATTTCAGAGAATCATTAAAGTGTTTACGTACTAAACCATTTGTGCGTTAAAAAGTAGTCAAAATATCAACCTTACTAATTCATAGTCCTATAATTATCACAATGTCTTTTTAGACATCTTCCTGAATTAGACGAATCACACAAACATATCCTAACTACAGACATCAACAATTGCCAGGTTTCTTTCCTGTATGGCATTGTGTATTCTGATATACTTCAGTGGGGATTCTCTCCTAGTTGCTTACTTACTTTAGAAATTACTGTAAATATAGCTTCATTTGAGTCCTTCCTATCGATATTTGTAACGACTGTCTCCACTTTGGTTCTCCAGATGTGTCTGTAGATTGAAGGATGGAGTAAAATCGCAGTCATCACATATTTAACATGTCTCCTGTAAATTATTGAAACACCGACTCCTGCCAGTCGACATTACAATCGTATACTAGTTTGATCTCGTTACTTGTCCCGATATGTCAGTGTAAATTATCCAGTTATATTCCTCAACACTGACACTTGTAAAGATTGTCTTAGGTGTCTGACCTAAAATGTGAAAGGTAAGAAATTTGATTTGTAATGTTTATTACAAATCTCCTACCACAGCCGTCACACTTGTAGATGTTCTTGTGTGAATCGTAGTGCGAGAGAAAATCATTTACTACAGACATCACAATCAGTGTGTCTTGGAATGTTTCTTTAGTCAATCATCAGTGAGCGACTAAAATCCTTACCACAAACATCACAAGGCTACTCTCCGGGAGGTATACTGAAATGTCTCTGTAGGTCAGAAATTATCATGAAGTTTCTTAGCAAAGACTTAGAAATCCTGAAATGTTTCTGAAGGTTATATTATATGCCTTCCCTACCACAGACAACACGTGAAAGGCTCCTCTCGAGGCATGTGTGTCATTTGCATCTTACCATTACCATTGAAATTAAAATTAAATGGTTATTTCCACAGGTGCTAGCTTCGACTGTCAAGGTTTATATTAAAAGTGTTTTAACAGATGAGGCTAGTACATATACTTGTGGGTTATCTACAGATACTAGCCTCAACTGTCAAGCTTTATATCAAAGGTGTATTAACAGATGAGGCTACTACATATATACTTGTGGGTATTCAACTGTCAAGGTTTATATCAAAGGTGTATTAACAGATGAGGCTAGTACATATATACTTGTGGGTATTCAACTGTCAAGGTTTATATCAAAGGTGTATTAACAGATGAGGCTAGTACATATACTTGTGGGTTTTCTACAGATACTAGCCTCAACTGTCAAGGTTTATATCAAAGGTGTATTAACAGATGAGGCTAGTACATGTACCTGTGGGTATTCTTGGTGTCCTAATATGTGCCTGCTGGTTAGATGTCAAACTAAACCCCGTACGTAACTTCACCCTTGTAATGTTTCTCTCCTATATGTACCCTAGCATGTTTCCGAAGTGTAGATGATTCACTAAATTGTTTACCACAGACATCACACTTGTATGGTTTTTCTCCTGTATGTGTCCTGATATGTCTCTGTAGGTCATGTGATTGAGTAAACCCTTTACCACAGACATCACACTTGTAAGGCTTCTCTCCTGTATGTGTCCTGATATGTCTCTGTAGACCAGATGGATGATGAACTCCCTTCCCACAGACATCACACGTGTAAGGTTTGTCTCCTGTATGTATCCTGATATGTTTCTGTAGCACGTGAGATCGACTAAACCCCTTACCACAGACATCGCACTTGTATGGCTTCTCTCCAGTATGTATTCTGCTATGTATCTGTAGCACGTTAGATCGACTAAACCCCTTACCACAGATATCACACTTGTATGGCTTCTCTCCTGTATGTATCCTGAAATGTATCTGCAAATCTGGTGATTGACTAAATTTCTTATCGCAGATATCACACTTGTAGGGCTTCTCTCCTGTATGCGTCCTGAAATGTCTTTGTAGATAAGATGGATGATGGAAATCCTTACCACAGACATCACACTTGTAGGGCTTTTCTCCTGTATGTGTCCTGATATGTGCCTGCAGGCGAGGGGCCTGACTAAATCCCTCACCACAGACATCGCACTGGTAATGCTTTACTTTTGTATGTGTTTTAATGTGTTTCTGCAGGTAAGGTGATTGACCAAACTTCTTACCACAGACATCACACTTGAAGGGTTTCTCTCCTGTATGCATCCGGAAATGATTCTGTAGGTTACATTGATGAATAAATTCCTTACCACAAGTATCGCATTTGTAGGACTTCTCTCCTGTATGTGTCCTTAAATGTCTCTGTAGGTCAGGTGATTGACTAAAACGGTTTCCACAGACATCACACTTGAAAGGCTTCTCTCCCGAGTGTGTTCTAGAGTGTGTCTTTAGTTTAAATTGATTAGTAAATACCTTTCCACAGACATCACACTTGTAAGAGTTTTCTCCAGTATGAATTTTTATATGTTCCTGAAGGTTTGATGAATGACTGTATCCTTTATCACAGACGTCGCACTTGTAAGGCTTCTCTCCTGTATGGACCCTGAAGTGTATATTGAGGGTAGAAATTTGATTAAATCCCTTACCACAGACATCACACGTGTAAGGTGTCACACCAGTATGTTTCCTGAGGTGCTTATTAAGGGTAGATTGTTGACTAAACCCCTTACCACAGACATCACACTTGTAAGGCTTCTCTCCTGTATGTGTATATTGGTGGTGTATTAAGATATCTTTATTACGAAACATTCTACCACAAACATCACACTTAACGTTGTTTGTTTCCTCCATTTTGCCAGAGTTATTGTGTAAGTTGTTTTATAAATACTACAAAATTAAAGGCACAGCAGAATGTTTGTACAAAATCATTCCAATTTTTGAAGCATTTATCATCCAAGTAGAAAATGAATGGTATGATGATTTTGTTGTTTACATTTGTCTCCTGTACAGTTCACTGGAAGGTTGTTTACAAGTGTCTCCTGTACAGTTCACTGAAAGGTTGTTAACAAGTGTCTCCTGTACAGTTCACTGGAAGGTTGTGTACAAGTGTCTCCTGTACAGTTCACTGAAAGGATGTTAACAAGTGTCTCCTGTACAGTTCTCTGGAAGGTTGTTTACAAGTGTCTCCTGTACAGTTCCCTGGAAGGTTGTTAACAAGTGGCTCCTGTACAGTTCTCTGGAAGGTTGTTTACAAGTGTCTCCTGTACCGTTCACTGGAAGGTTGTTAACAAGTGTCTCCTGTACAGTTCACTGGAAGGTTGTTAACAAGTGTCTCTTGTACAGTTCACTGGAAGGTTGTTTACAAGTGTCTCCTGTACAGTTCACTGGAAAGTTGTTAACAAGTGTCTCCTGTACAGTTCACTGGAAGGTTGTTAACAAGTGTCTCCTGTACTGTTCACATTGTCTAAGAGTGGTACTATACCATACAGAATTCGCTGGAGAGTAGCTGAAACACAAAATACAAATCAGATTAAGAACTATTGACAGGAGGCACAGAGGGCCTGAATCACTGACCTAGCTATTAGAAAAATAATGTAAAAATATTCTCAATAAAAGTACTTTTGCAAATTTCTATATGAGTCTCCTTGTTTAAGAATGTTCCAGACCAAATGAAACTTTATGCTTCCCTATCCCAGCATGCTACTAGTCAAATATCAACACCCAGAGCCTCCTGGTATTGAAGAAGAAGTTATTTAAAGATATTTACATAGTTGACCCCTGTGACCTTGAAAGTTAGTCAAGGCTATTTATTTGGTGAAACTTTTTTGTCCCAGGAACCTACTGGCAAAGTATTATTGCTCTGGGACTCCTGGTTATTCTGAGGAAGCTGTTTAAAGCGTATTTAACCTGTGACCTTGAAAGTAGGTCAAGTCATTTATTTGAGGATACTTTATAGCACTCTGTCCCAGGTACCTTCTGGCCAAATACCATTGCTCTAGGCCTTTTTGTTATTCAGAAGATGTTTAAAGATTTAAACATATTTGACCCGTGACCTTGAAAGTAGGTCAAGGTCATTCATATGAGGAAAATTCATAGCACTCTGTCCAAGGTACCTACTGGCCAAATATCATTGCTCTGGGCCTCCTGGTTATTCAGAAGTATTTGTTAAAGGTTTTTAACATTTTTTACCTGTGTTCTTAAAAATAAATCAAGGTCATTTATTTGAGGACACTTTATAGCACTCTGTCCTAGGTACTGTACCTACTGGCTAAATATCATTGCTCTAGGCCTCTTTGTTGTTCAGAATGAGATGTTTAAAGGTTTTTACATATTTGACCCCTGTGACCTTGAAAGTAGGTCAAGATCATTTATTTGAGGAAATTTTATAGCAGTTTTAGCACTCTGTCCCAGGTATCTACTTGCCAAATATAAGGGCCCTAGGCTAGGTCTTCCAGTTCTTTTGATGAAGTCAACTGTAGTGGCAGATGAGCTTTTCAGAAATTTAATAATATCTCGTTCTATTTAGAGAAAACTAAATGATCACAGGTGAATTTTTGGATCATATTTAGTAAGCTTGAGATAGTTGCAATACAGAAATGGCCTATATGAGGTAAAAGGATCATCTTTATATAATTTGTGTAGCAAAATAAATATAAACCACAAAAGAAAAATACACACCCCACCAATTATCATCAAGTCTACCGTCATCTCTGAAGCAAACAACCCAAAACCCTTACATCAGGTATTAAACAGTATGTGTTACATCTGGTTCTCTTATGTACCGATCTAACCATTTACAATCAGACAATGATAAAGAACTTTAGGCAAGACTGTTTTGAGTTTGGCCAAGTGAAGATAGCGCTGCATAACGAAAGACATAATGGGGGTTGGGTGGTGCAGTGGATAGCACACGTGCCTTTCACCAAGGCGGCCGAGGTTTGATGGGGTCACCTGCCCCTGACCATGCAGATTTTCTCTGGTTCTCCAGTTTCCTTCCACATTAAGACCCCCCCACCCCCCACTCCCTCCTCCCCGGTAACATCGATCTGGGCCAATTAGAGTGATTAATAAAAGTTGAAATAAATTGATTCATAATTGCTGTGACAAGTTAAGACCAGCACTATATGTTTGCCATTACCTGTACATTATACATCTGTTGGATTTTTATAACTTTCTTGTTTGCTATATTTTATCAAGTTATATATATATATATATACTATAGTCAATTGATCCATTTTAATTCCATGAAATGTTGCCTTACTAAATGTATTTGAATATTGTAACAATAGGTCAAAAGGGCCTGCATACGTTTCTCTCACGAAATGACAAGATATTGTCATTAAATATCACGTTAGAAATATTTCCCAATTTTGGCTTCCAAAGTTTGGCTCCGACGTCACTCAGCATATTCTTGAGTGTAACACCATTCTTTTATACAAGTTTGAGTCCCTGGTATCATTTCTTTTTGCATGCAATACCACACAGTAACTGGTCAAATGTCATGACTCTTTGACCTTTCCTTTCTTCAGAAAGGGTTTGAGTGTTATTGAGTTTTTGAGTGAACTACCAGCTAAATATAATTAGGCTTGTGATGGAGGAATGGATTGCTAAATCAATTTAAATTTCCTCATTTAATATAAACAAGAGGCCCATTAGCCTTAACGGTCACCTGAGTTATGTAAAAACTGATGTTATCGATGTTGCCAAATGAAAAAGAAATCATTTTGTAACAAAGGTAACTTGAACTACATGTAATACAAAAGTAGTGTGAAAGATGAAAGATGTACTATGTACAAATAGTGGTTCTGTCTGAATCAGCTGACAGGAAATGTCCCTTTAGCTCAGTGGTAGAGCGTTGGCCTCCAGAACCTGGGGTCGTGGGTTCAATCCCAGCTGGGGCACCTCATATTTCCACTTCTTTCTTTCCTATTACAGTAGCTCGAGCTGTTGGACTTTTTTGGGGGTTTATTTGAGTAAGGTTACTGGCTAAAAAAAACCAGCTGTCCTATCAAATATCTAATATATTGATTCAACAATGAAGAGTTTTTGTGTATTGTAATTTGCTATTTGGCAGCTTTGCATCTTTTTATACTGAACATAAATTACATACAACTAAATGGTAAAAAACAAAAAAAATTGTGAGTTGACTACATCATCTAAATTTAACACCAGATATATATGAGAAAGATATTTGTTTTGAGCTTTTTGTGATAAAAAGGTCGCAAATTTTGCTAATAATGTAATAATTAACATTGTAAACGACAAACATACAAAGTGTTGTTTAAGAGAACAACCAGGCCTTTGGCAAAGTTATTTATAATATAACACTATGGATGATTACACCAATATTTTTAATCTTTTCCGGTTTATTCTTCTTGAAAAAATAATTTTGCTTCTGTGCATTTGTCAGACATTGCTTGTTCAGGGATAGTACTTAAGTCAATGAAGCCTTATCTGAGTCTGGAGAAGAATTCCAAGATGGCCAAAGCCCAAACTGTCATAGTATCAATGGCATACCATCAAATTGTCATCCAGTACCGATAATTCTAACCAAGTTTAAATTATTTCTAATGGCAATTAAACAAATGAAACTCAAAAATGTTATTTCCCTATATAAACTATAGTAAAGTTTACCTCCTCCCCAGAGGGACACATGAGACCCCAGGGTAATGAAATTCACAATTTTGGTAAAGCACCTTAAGACCCTTTCATCTATAAAGAGTATTTGATTCTACCATATCTGGGTCTTGAGTAGAAAATTTTTGAAATTTCAGCCAATTCAACCCCTTTTGGCCCCACCCATCAGCCCCTGGGGGTCAGTCAGGGCTGATATGTGCATATCATCAAACTGTTATCCAATACTGATAATGCTAACCAAGTTTGAATTAATTGCAATGGTCTTGAGAAGAAGAATTTTGAAATTTTAGTCAATTTGACCCTTTTTGGTCCCGCCCCTCAGGCCCCTTGGGGCTGGGGACCATATCATTCACATTTTTGGTTGACCTTTGGCCATGGAAGGTTTCTGCAAAATTTCGTTGAAATTGGTTCAGGGGTTTAGAGAAGAAGTTGAAAATGTAAATTGTTTACGGACGCACGACGAACGACAAAAGGCGATCGCAATCTAATTAAAAAAAAGGTGACCTAGAAACCCACCTACAGTATTTTCATGTCTGTATCCAGTGATTTTTTTGCTCAGTTTTACAGCCGAAAATTTCAATAAAAACTAGCTATATTTTCCCAATTCATACAGGAACAGGTATTGTAAAATTTAAGTAAAAAAATCACAAGGAAACAGGACTTACCTCCCCTTAATCATGTACAATTATCTAATAACTGAACAAGATATTATAGATCAAATTAATTTATTCATAGTAATAAGCCACAATATTTTCTTCCCTCCATTGAAGAACCTTTTCAATGAAACTATCTCTAATAGTGGAATTAATTCATCACTTTTGAAATGTAGCTGAAGTAAATGATACATGTATATGATCTTTACAAAGGCAAAGGTGATACTGCTGATCCAGGTTGTTTGTTTGTTTGAGTGGTTTTAAGTCTGCTTCACCAACAAGTAGTTCGGTTATCCAGCAGACAACCTGATCCATAGACTATAGACCTATATATAGCTCCTTTATCAGAAATATCTAAAAGTATGGGAAATGGGGAAAAAATTAAACTTTCAATATATAACATAAGTAAAAATCTAGATAAAGATAAGGATAATTTATGTACATTGTATCAAATTTGTGTTTCTTGAAAAAGATTTTAGTTTCTCGACATAATTAATTAGTCTCTGATTTAGTTTGGCATACAGGAATCTCTGGATTATTGTATAACCTGAAAAATTATGGAAGCTCATGTTAATATCAAGGACTGGTTAGAAAACTACTTAACTATAGGATTTCCTAAAGTATTATGGAAGGTCATAGCTCTATATACCCCTAAAAATATCAACGCCTGTGTTCTTCAAAGCTCAGTTTAAGGCCCTTATATTAACCAGTATTTCTTTTATTTATAGATTATATAATTTGTGAAGTTTCTTCAAACATCAAGCTTTTAATTGATGATATATCTCTTTATATAATTGAATATAATAATCCAATATATATCAGCTTGTGGAATTTTAAGCAAAGACATAATGGGTTACTTAATTATTGGTCTAATTTTTAACAAATTTTCTAACAAAACAGTAAAGCTGACAGTTTCTAGAAGAAACACTCACCTCCAGCCTATTTCCTATTTCGTCTTTCTATTCCGGGGTCACACACAGCTTGAAACATACATTCTGACTCAAGTTGTATGTTTACATGTATTACAGTTTATTAATAATTTGACAAATCAAAACACATGTCTCTTTGATAGAGACTAAACTTGGCAACTTGATAGGATTATATGTTAGCTTTGAAATATTCAAAAGAATTTAGGACGCCACCAATGTACTCAAATTGATAAAGTGTTATACTGACATATAACAAGTTTGTTGATGTCATTGTTTTCTTTGGTAGTGAAAGTAGACAATTAATACCTGAAAAACGTGCAGAAAAGTAGTTTTTGTACCATTCTTTATTTAATTTAGTCAGCCCGAAAAACAAAGTATGCCATATGGTAACCTAGATACATTTTTCTACAAGTTTTCTTTTTATTCTTATAGAAAAAGTAAATATATCCTATGCAAATTAAAGCATTTGTTTTTTTTGTGATTCAAAATTAAGCAGATACAAAAGTCACATGGTGCCACAGAATATGCTATGTGTCTTTTGATTACATGTATAATTAGTATAGGTGGGCACAGAAACTGGTCACATGAGGATTGAACATAATATGCATGTTGCTTTAACAGATTTCGCCTTTATTACCCTAGAGTAAAGGAAGTGTTTGCAGACTGATTAAATTCGAGTTAAAATTAAAAACTGATTTTCGAGTTAAAATTAAAGACTTAACATTGTTCGGAATAAGATTCATCAGTTTGGTATGAATAATAAAGGCGAAATTTGTTTTGAACACAATCAGGGATTGAAAACTTATTTTGCGAGCTTTCGAAAACATCTGTTGCGACCGGTGTGTCAACTAGGATAACTAAACCGCTGAAAACACAGCCAACAAAATACAATCATGCCAAACTTTCCATCATATCAGCAAACTAATACGACATGTATATATTTCGTCTTTGAATAAAACTTATCCTTATATGTTACCTGAATGACCGCTATCGATCTGCTTATCCTTATCGCAGCTAATACATGGACAAAAATATGTGTATTTGTTGACACCATTTCGAACCGGAAGTGCGGATACTACTAAAGATGTGAATAATGACAGGAATTGACAAGAATACAAATTAGAATCGGTCTAAAACAGTATTTTATTCAATAATCATGCATGGTTAGGGCATACATGTAACTTCAGAGAAATTGGAAAACAATCTCAAAGCTTATATAAATACGTTTAAATAAATATATGGCTAGAAAACTATAGCCTATGTTGAGAGAAAGACGTACAAAGCACAGGGACCTGAGAATTTGTTACAGCTATATTTGGACCTAAACTATGGTGTTCAGAGTAATTTTACATGTTTTAGGGGTTTAGATCGACTTTCAATAAAAATGACACCCCCAGTGATTATATATTAAACATGTAAAATTCCTGTGAACACCTAATTAGGTTTAGGTCCAAATTTTATATAGCTGTAACAAATTATCATGATCATGTCCATGTGCTACAGATTTAGGTGTACTAATGGCTGAACTTGAAGACACAATCTGTACACACTGGACGACAACTGTGGGATGGTTGGGTCACCATCGTGGTGCTGATAGTTAATAATAGTGATCACACAAACATACGTTGATTTTTTTTTTTTTATTTACAAATGTAACAGAGCGCGTGATTAATCAAATATGAATCACTGCCTCCGCATGGGATCGAACCCGGGCCCTCTGGCTTACTAGCCTTACGCTCAACCGATAGAGCTAAAGCGAAGTTCTCTATAGCCGAGCGATATGTTTCGGCTAGTATCACCAGGGTTACATACTCCCCTTCCAGGAAAGAACTCGTCCCCGAGTTTTCCAAGTGTAACAGTGATGCCTGTGGAGCAAGGCCGAGAATTTTCCCCGGGTCCCTACGTGGGCGCGAATGTAACAGAGCGCGTGATTAATCAAATATAAATCACTTCCTCCGCATGGGATCAAACCCGGGACCTCTGGCTTACTAGACTTACGCTCAACCGATCGAGCTAAAGAGAAGTTCTCTATAGCCGAGCGATATGTTGCGGCTAGTATCACCAGGGTTACACAAACCATTCCTCTCTAAATATTTGAATTATTATTACATGTACTTTGGTAATATTTGATGACTTCTAGAAATGCAAAGGAACCTGGTATCTCTTTTTCAAATGTATCTTGTGCGGCATTCTCTACACGTAACGTTAGTGCAGGCAAATTCGTCACATAAGTAATGGTTTCGGTTAATAATTCGTCCAAAAACGCATGTATCAAAATGCCGACGAGCACCAGCACAGAAGAAGATTTGACTGAAATGCCTATAAATAAACATTGTTGTAAACACGCATGAATGACGTCACGCAGTCCATTTGTGACGTCACCAGGCCTTCCGTGGTTTTGCTCAAAGGTGCAGGCAGTTTCGCCACCTTCAAACATTAAACTAATTCACAAGTAATCTAAGTGTTTAAATGTAAACTTTTGTATGTTTATGTTACACAAGTCGTACTGATACGAACAGCTCCAAATGTGTGGGTGTAATTAAGCATTGAACTGTTTTGTATGGTATTTATGATCTATTTGAATGACACAGCTTTGCAAGCAAACAACATAATGCGCGCTAGCCACATTACAGTCCACAAAATAGTTCAATAGTTTGAACAGCGTGTTTGTCGCGTGCTGATTGGCAAACAAAGTAGTACTTTGAAATTTTAACAAACACTTCAATGTTATTCCACAATTCAGTATAAATACAATTGCGAATGATATGTCTATAGGGTGATTTAAGTTTATCAATAGAACTCTGAGCTGAAAGTTAGATTTGAAATTGTTTCGATTTTTCTCCAGAACAAATTTAGCGCATGGATAAATACAGTGAACACCGTAAATCCGACCTTGCCCTCCACGAGGGAGTTATTTTTGGAAGTTAATTCGAACTTTTCTATTTGCTCATTTTGTGAAGAATCCAGACGTGAATTTATTTGTTGATTGTATGGGAACCTGACAACAGTCGGTAGATTCTATAACAGTCTCGTTATTTGACATGTCGTCAGAAACTGAGGAACAGTGGATGCGAGACGCGTGAAACTGATAGCGTTTGAAGTTTCGTTACAAATGTCTGAAATGTTTATGTGTGTTGTGACTCATATCAGTAGTTCTGTAACATATGTGTCAGTAGGTCTATAGAATATGTGTATTTCAGACATTTGTAACGAACCCCTGTTGATCAGTGCAGTGTAACAGACGATATTTCTGATAAATTGCATGAGCGTTAAAATTGTTTCCATTGCCGGCATTGGTGGTTTCAACCGATGTGCATTTTGTACGATATTGCAGACCTTTGTCTTGTTTTCGTTGTAATAAAAGTGTTTTTTATTTTATTTTTTATTTTGCACATAAATTTACAAATCTCACAATGCCCAGCGATATTTCAGCAGCCGTCATGTTTATTTATATTGGATATTGTAGTTCCGGTCAGTGTTGTATTAATACGCTAAGAATTGTGTCTCGTGATGCATGGTAATTAAAGTCCTATCAACGACACAGCTTTCAAAGAGGCTATATAGTGACAATGCCATGCAAATGTAAATATCAATGATTAACATTGAATTACATGGCTTTCTCCGACCAAAACGTCGTTCCGTTAATACGTCACTTTAACAAATAAGACAAAACATTAATAAAGTGCAACGGGCTCGACCACGCGCGTGAGTTTATTTAGGGGATAGTACGTTAGAACATGAAATTTGGGTTTGAACTCGAGACCGATAGGTCGAGAGTTTAAACCAAATTTCATGTTCTAATCGCCAGTATAGACACGAAAAACAACGTACTATCCCCATTCTAACACACATTAACAAATATACTACGCTAATATGTTTAGAAACATTGTATTATACTTTGTGACCTGAACTGATGACGTGTCATTCTGCAGCGGACTGACCAATCGGAAAGAAGCTTTCAAAAGTCGGTCATTTGGCCCCGCCCATACTGGCCAGCGCTCGATCTGTATATTGACGAGACGGAATATTTGGATTGTTCGTGAACGTCCTGTTACCAAAGTTTATACGACACATTTGGATTAATATTGACCAAGTTCTTACATGTCCATGTCAGTATGCATACCAATATGTGCTTATCGAAAAAATCGGTGATTATTTGTATAGATTTGTGAAGAGTTTTGTGTAAATGCATACGACACATGTGAAATGTTTCATTTGATTTGGGATCTAAATAGATGCCTTCACACGGATGGAACGAACGTTTCAGTAATAAATGGAGGTTAGACCAAGGAATGAATACTTTTTACTTTTTAATTCATTCAACAAATACATTTCATCGGTCGTTTCTGTTCTGTTACCTGCTAGCCTTATCAGCGGGATTTCGCTAAGAGGCGAGCTTGACGCCATATTGTTTTGGTTTGAAACGGGGCGTGGCTTAATTGCGATGGGAGGAGCTTAACACGATTGAACATGATTCTATCGCAGATTAGAACATGGTCCGTATCCAATCAAAACACGCGTAGCAAACGAATCGTGTTAGAATTAGGGGATAGTACGTTGTTTTAAGTGGCTATACTGGCGTTTAGAACATGAAATTTGGGTTTGAACTCGAGACCGATAGGTCGAGAGTTTAAACCAAATTTCATGTTCTAATCGCCAGTATAGACACAAAAAACAACGTTCTATCCCCATTCTAACACACTTTAACAAATATACTACGCTAATATGTTTAGAAACAATTATTTCCTTGTACAAAAGTACGTAGTAAAATACTTTGTGACCTGAACTGGCGATGTGTCAATCTGCAGCGGACTGACCAATCGGAAAGAAGCTTTCAAAAGTCGGTCATTTGGCCCGCCCATACTGGCGAGCGCTCGATCTGTATGTTGACGAGGCGGAATATTTGGATTGTTCGTGAACGTCCTGTTACCGAAGTTTATACGACATATTTGGATTTATATTGACCAAGTTTTTACATTTCCATGTCAGTATGCATACCAATCTGTGCTTATCGACAAAATCGGCGATTATTTGTATAGATTTGTGAAGAGTTTTGTGTAAATGCATACGACACATGTGAAATGTTTCATTTGATTTGGGATCTAAATAGATGCCTTCACACGGATGGAACGAACGTTTCAGTAATAAATGGAGGTAAGACCAAGGAATGAGTACTTTTTACTTTTAAATTCATTCAAACAAATACATTTCATCGGTCGTTTCTGTTCTGTTGCCTGCTAGCCTTATCAGCGGGATTTCGCTAAGAGGCGAGCTTGACGCCATATTGTTTTGGTTTGAAACGGGGCGTGGCTTAAGTGCGATGGGAGGAGCTTAACACGATTGATCATGATTCTATCGCAGATTAGAACATGGTCCGTATCCAATCAAAACACGTGTTGCAAACGAATCGTGTTAGAATACACAATAACTCACCTTCACCAACTACAAAACCACACATCACAAATAACCATTTCTCAAATATCTACTCCGCGTCCTCCCTTTCAAAAAATCAAATTATACTTCATCTTTGTATAATATCTTTAAATTTTCCAAAAACCAGAAACTAACAGTGTACGGGTATACCGGTGTGTGTATATACACCCGAAACACTGCTCACCCCGTGACGTAACTCCGGTATCGGAAAAAACAATTTCATCCTAATTCATTCCATTCAAACGAATAAAATTATATTTTCTTATTTGTGATATAGTTAATTCTCGGTTTTTGAAGAAACTGATTAATGTTATTTGCGAAAGATGGCTGGTATCGGCTGAGATGATGTCAATTTACATGATACGCAATAAAGACTCAGTCCTGAACAAATTTAAACTTCCAATTTCCATCGGGTCCGGATGAGAGGGTCCAGGGCTTTCAACGACCCCCTCCCCCTCTGAATTCTGATTTTTGGATAATTTGTCACATGTACGTCTCCGATCGTCTTGCACGTCAACGGGAAACATCAGACAAATTAAAACGATTTTCTTTGGCTTGAAAACTTATTCAACAAAGACTGCCCGGCCATGTGTTGTAAATGTACTTACTTTTTTCATGTACAAATCAG